GTGATAAAGTGCTTTTGTCTCCATATCCGGAATATTCTGTAATTTATATTATTTGATACAATAATACTTTTTTAATATTTATAACATTAGTTTGATGTTAATGATGGCACGGTGTATGCTATTTAAGTTTAAATGTCACTGCACTCATAGACCATACTATAATAAGTGTTAGTAATTATTCTTTAGCCTGATTAATAAAGATATCAATAAATATCATATTTCACTATTAAATATAAAAAGTAAATAGATTAATAATTACATATTAATACTAAAGTTGTTAGTATTAAGCTTACGGTATACTGTATGCTAGTATACTGTTAGCAAAGAATATTGAGAATCGATAGGAATAAGTGAATTTCATGCTATTTATTACTAAATTTGTTTTTCATAACTAATTTGGTAGTTTAGTAAGTCAAACATTATCTACATTTTGATTCGCAAATTAAATCAATAGTGAATAACTGGGAGTTGAATGAAAAGGTTGAATGCAATATTGTGTGTGAGAGAGATATCACATAAATAATCTAAATTAAGCAATAATTCAATTAGTATTGGATACTAGTGTTAGACATATATTAGATTAGATTACTGATAGCGTTGTGTGTGTTATGAGTGCGGAGTATATATCGTCGATATCCATGAGTTGGTCCGTCTATGTGTTGACCTGTGATTAATGGCACTCGTAGGCAGACCCTCACCACTACTGCTGCGGCACATGTATGCCAACGGATTCTGTAGATTCTGTGATTCTGTAGGAATTATCGCCTATTGAATCCGGCGTCCAATTAATCTAAACACACATCTGATATAAGTTTGAATTTTTTGAGTTCTGTACCATTCATTCAGTAAGAATACAATTATTTTAAACTTCCTATTTTGTAGCTTGATTAAATGTTTTTTATTTTTAAATATAAATCAAGTTTTTTGTTTATTATTTTCAATTCAGAAAATTTTTGTATTGATAGAAATAAACTACTTAAGTGAGAAAGTGTGTGTGTATGTATGTATGTATGTATGTGTGTATGTGTGTGTGTGTGTGTGACAATCGAAAGAGATATCTGCAGAGAATTCTCAACAAATAAATTAATCAAAACTAAACTACTTTTAAACTCAAACTTAAGCCCATTTATTGTAAGCATTTGGGTATTGAGTGCACAACTAATAAAAGTTGTCGTCAAGGGCTACATTAGTCAACACTTTTACCATTTATTGAGTGAGAATAAGACAAATGAGAGAAAATAACAAAAAATTCGTTGTAATACCTGTGCAGTAGGCGCTGGCAACTGCGATAATGCTAATTAACATTTTATATGTTTGTATTTATTTTTAGCGACATTAAAGAATAATAAGATATATGTTTGTAAATAGACTATAATTTTTCATAAATAGATGCATAGCAAATACAGATCTACAACAATTTATCCCGCTTATTTTTTTGATTATATTATATCGCAAATGAATTCATATATTCCTAAACACAACTGAGTTTTCTGTGAGCTGTTTATGTCAACCGTTCACAACCATTACGGACTACTAATATAATACAAGTTTTTAACGCAATTGTCTTTTAAAAACACATATCCCGGGAGATTTGTTGTTCATGTGTTTGTGATTCACTTTTTCTACTCTAAAAACAGAGTAATTATTGTTTGATGTCTTTTGTATTGTGAGAGAAATCAGACTCTAAGTGCGAACAAGACATATAAGACATACAATTTATTGTTTTATATATATATTTCCACACAAATAAACTATATATAAAAATAATGATTTCTCTCTAGCTACATTAGTCAACACTTTTACCATTTATTGAGTGAGAATAAGACAAATGAGAGAAAATAACAAAAAATTCGTTGTAATACCTGTGCAGTAGGCGCTGGCAACTGCGATAATGCTAATTAACATTTGATATGTTTGTATTTATTTTTAGCGACATTAAAGATATGGTATATGTTTGTAAATAGACTATAATTTTCCATAAATAGGTGCATTGCAAATACAGATCCACAACAATTTATCCCACTTTTATATGAAATATTTTTATGATTATATTATATCGCAAATGAATTCATATATTCCTAAACACAACTGAGTTTTCTGTGAGCTGTTTATGTCAGCCGGTTATCTGAATCTCACAACCATTACGGACTACTAATATAATACAAGTTTTGAACGCAATTGTCTTTTAAAAACACATCTCTCGGGAGATTTGTTGTTCATGTGTTTGTGATTCACTTTTTCTACTCTAAAAACAGAGTAATTATTGTTTCATGTCTTTTGTATTGTGAGAGAAATCAGACTCTAAGTGCGAACAAGACATATAAGACATACAATTTATTGTTTTATATATATATTTCCACACAAATAAACTATATATAAAAATAATGATTTCTCTCTTATGGCTTTTATATATAAACTTGGAAACTATTTTTATATATACCGTATATTAAACATAAATATACTTTTAGGACAAAAACTTTATTGATATTAGTTTTTTCTCAATACAAACGATACAAAAAAAACTTAAAGCGAGGTTCCGATATATAAATCAATAAATAAAATCTTATTTTTTTGTGTTCACAAAGAATTGATTTGTTTAGTCTTTATATTTGCTTAAACTTGGATTCCTTGAGTCAACAGAAAAAATATATATTTATTTATTTTATTGCAAAAACTTATAATCTTTTCAAACGAGACAATTCTCTAACAATTAGTTTCAATGTTTTTGAGTTCAATTGTCTCAATTGTAGAAACAATTTAGTAAATTAAAATACAGATATTAATATCAATTAATGCTTATTACTAATGACTTAAATGCGAGTAAAGTATCATTTTTTGGTTATGCGTTGGAGACTGTAAGCCACATCAGTTTTAGCCTTTTGCTAAACAGGGCAGAGAGAGAGAGAGAGAGAGACAGACAGACAGAGAGAGAGAGAGAGAGAGAGAGAGACTTTTGCTAAACAGGGCAGAGAGAGAGAGAGAGAGAGAGAGAGCGAGAGAGAGAGAGAGAGAGCTGGTGTAAGTGGAAAGAAGTATAGCGTTTGGAGTTAAGTATCCCACGAGAAATAAAGGAAGAGATAGTGTTTGTTTCTTCTGGTGTTGTTTTGTGTGCGATATTTATTTAGCCAATCCGTTAGTGTAGTGCCGGAGCGCACACTTATGTTCACTCAATTCCCCGAAAACCCTCATCTCTCTCTCTCTCTCTCTCTCTCTCTCTCCCTCCCTCTCTCTCCATGTCCTTCTCATACAACAACACAATATTCACTTAAATTAGATTCAACTCATTGTCTCATTGGGTTCTCTCCTCTCATTCCTCTCATTTTGCGCTCATTTTTCTCTTCTCTCGTGTTTTTCATTGCATTTCGCTTTTGATTACAACTTTAATTTAATTCGCATTAATTGCCAACATTTTTATTTCGCTCATTACAACTGATACTCTCATTTCTGTCTCTGTAATCATATATTTAACTATTTATGATATGTTATTTGCTAGCTAACGCGCTGGTAATTATTAATAAAAATCTAATAACTTATTTATAATTTTCATTTGCAAAAATTAGTGTTTATTTTATTAATGTTAATTGTTAATTATAATTTATAAATGCTCATAAAATTTGGCTTACTTTTTAAATGAATTAAATTTATAAAAGGATTTTGCAATAAAAATTTGTTTTCCGTAAACCAATACAGGCTTGTGTATGTCAATATGTTGTATGCAATTAATGAGCAAGGATATACTACACTAATCAAGAAAAACTGATACGTTTTTTGTGCAGCACTTATAGTAAATAGTTTTGGGACTTTGGGTATTATGTGATACAAAATACAACTCATATTATCCATAGTTTATATTTCTTTTCTGTTTATCACTGATTGTCATCTCATCAATCATTTCCTACAAAAAATAGTAATTGATATCAAAATATTGTATTTGTTTATAGACACCAAAATATTTTCTTATTTGACATGGATTATATTTTATTGTGTACTGTTATTAATGAGAAAATTTGGTACTAAAAAATAATTAAATAAATGTAGTAAGCAATTAAATAAAGACTAGTATAAAATAAATTATAGCTATATTAAATGGGCTGAAAAGTATTTGGAGAAAAGTTTTTTGTTTTTATTTGTGAAATGTCCGAAATAATGTAAATAAGTAACAATTTATGGACTGATCCTTAAAACCACTTAAGTTTAGTGATCGCAATGTTAGCGCAATAGAGTTGTCTCTCGTCTTAAGCTATCGTCCAAAAGTGTTGTACTCTTTCTAACTGTTAAGCACTTGAATGCCAGCGACGAGTAAAAAATCTATGAGAAAAAAATCTCTAAAATAGGATTTCAGGCAACAAAAAAATTTATCACACACAAAAAAAGTTTGGCTTAACTTTAATATTAAAGATCGGAGTGAAGAACTGGAGTGAAAAATGTCACAAAAACATCACAATTCTGTTAAAATACTTCTAGTGTTATATGTGTTGAGAATGTGCTTCACGTCGTTTGATAGACTCAGTGAAGGCTTTTGTTGTATAAGATTTTTATTGAATTTTTTTTAAAGGCATCTTCCTATGCACACCATCCATAGTCTCTCTCTCTCTCTCTCTCTCTCTCGCTCTCTCTCTCTCTCTCGCCAAACCCAAACACACACTTTTTAAAAACTCGATTCACTCTAACATTGAAATCAAAGTATAGAATCTTATGTATATATCTCACAATTTACTTAAATTTCTACTCTGAACAGTAAACCTAAAAAATGGCAAAAAACTTTACCCCGTTATTTTACATAATTTTATTTAAAATCAATAACATCATTGATTTGATGTGTTTTTTAGAGTCTGAATAAAATTACAATAAATTTACGAAAATATAAATCAGAGCAAAAACTACCCTATTCTTAGGGGCACTGTTTGTTACATTAAATAATTGTTTATCAATACATAGAATTTGAATCAATATATGACCCAAAAATGGTTACTCCATTTGCAGTGACAGTGTTTAACGACATGCAGACCTCGATGGGAGAGAAGGCACACCTGCCCTGCAATGTGACCCCACCCTCGGAGGACGACTCCATAACACTAGTGCTGTGGTATAGAAGCGATGTGAAGATACTGCCCGTCTATACGGTGGACATCCGTCACAATCGAGACAAAGCCAAACACTTGACGCACGAAGTGTTGGCCGATCGCGCCTTCTTTAACCTGTCCGTCCGACCGGCCATTCTTACATTGGACCCCATCCTGGAGACCGATGGCGCGGAGTACCGGTGCCGAGTAGACTTCCGATGGGGTCGTACTCTCACTTCTGTTATTAATCTTAGTGTTATTGGTATGCCTTTCCGTATCATTTGTTTTGTTAATACCTGTACTTATAGTTACTATAATTATAATCATATCTAATTTTATATTTAATTTGATACATGTATGTAGAGTATTGGAAAAATATATTAATATTAATTTATTCTGTAACACTTTATAATAAATATGTATTATAACTAGGAATGAAATAAAAATGGATAAAAAGTGTGTTTTTATAACTGGGCTAAGTGTATCCCTATGATTCATAAAAAACACATTCATTAATTGAATCAGTTTTTGATTTTCAAACATATTAATTCTTGAAATAATTTCATATGAATATTCGTTTATATAAACACTCATTTGATAGAATTGAATGACTATTGATTACAATTTTCTTGAAATTTGTTGATTACTCGCAAATTTGATTATTCATAATATATTTTCTCATCGATTAATAAAGGTTTGAGTGTTTTATCAATTGAATACTCAAATTATTATAAAGGACTCAAATATTGAAAATCAAAAACTGATTCAAATAGTGAATCAGTTTTGTATTACTCACTGAGATACAAGTGGCCGTCTTTTTGTTACCCACTTTTCTGGAGATCCTAATTATAACTTATTATAATGGTATAATTAATGGTCTGAAAAGTTTTAGTTTTTAATTATTATATATTGATGTGTTTCAGTGCCTCCGAAAAAATTATACATAACTGATAGCAAGAATCAACAGATATCTGGACTCATCGGACCAGTTGAAGAGGGATCTGATGTCCGTATTAGTTGTGTAGTGGAAGGGGGTATGTATTAGACATATGGCTATATTGTCTTGACTTATATATCTTAGTGCTAATGACTAATAGACAGACATTAGATCATTATTCTTAAAAAACAAACTCATCATCCATTATATGATGACATTATATGAAACGATGTGTTAAACTACATATCAATAATAAATGTGTATGTATTGACTCGTATGGATGTATGTATCCGTGTAGGCCGTCCGCCCCCGAGTGTGCACTGGTATCGCGATAATGGGCTGATCGATGCCTCGGCCACCGCTGGTGACGGATCTNAACTACATATCAATAATAAATGTGTATGTATTGACTCGTATGGATGTATGTATCCGTGTAGGCCGTCCGCCCCCGAGTGTGCACTGGTATCGCGATAATGGGCTGATCGATGCCTCGGCCACCGCTGGTGACGGATCTCTTGTTAGGAATGAACTTCTCATCGAAAATATTCGCCGAAATGATTTGAACTCAATTTACAGCTGTAATGCAATTAATAACAACTTCAGTCAGACGTCTATTTCGACATTTGTCACGTTTGATATTTATGGTAACACTTCTCTCCCATACCATTCACTCCATTCTCTCTCTCCCTATGATATAACCAGAACATTACTATTACATACACACAGAATATTCTGTACCATTGTATGCCATTTCTTATCTCCAAAACACACATTAGTTTCTTAGACTAAAACAGTAGCCAAGGGTTGAGTCAGTGGTCTCGCGAGACTAGAAACGCACGATATATCATATTTTTCGCACAGTTTTACAAACAGTTAGCAAAGCAGAGAATTTATGAATGTTTAGAAAGTATTTTTATTTTCAATGCAGATTAGGTTCGTGATGTCAACCCTGATCAGTTGCCCGCATACAGACACACGCAGACGTGTGCTATACTGCAAAAGAGTTGCTTATTTAGTAATTTGTTTTGTTTGCTGTTATGCCAGGCAAAACCGAATAACAAACTATTTTTACGGTTTTATATTCAGTTTAAATATCGATTTTGGTTATTTAAGCATGTTGAGAATATATTACTGTAAAGAGAAATGATATATAGATATATTTATTATGCAAATAACTGTTTATACGTTTGGACCAAAAAATCTTATTAACAGTAAAGCCGTCTGACGTGAAGATAATTTCTATAAGAAGGCCGCTGTCTTCTGGACGCAAATTTGATTTAATTTGTCGATCTTATGGCTCAAGACCTCCCGCCCAACTGACGTGGCTTAAGGACAATAGATTGCTCTCAAAGACCAGGTTCGTGAACCCAATTAATTATTTCTTATACTTAATATCTACTAAAAACACCATTTATACAATAAAAGTTAGCCCTGCTAATGTAGCACATATTTCATAAGATTTCATATTCAGATTATTTTTAGACTTTTTTACGTTCAAACTTTATTAAAATGATAATAATTTAGATTATTTTTAAAGAATTGAAGTGAAAGTTAATTATCAATATGAATGATAATATATGATATGATATGATTAGTTGATTACGATGAAAACTCATACAATAGTGTCAATGTGTAATGAATAGGGAAATACGTGTGCGAAAAGAAATTGCATTTAGTTTTTAGGACAACAATGAGACAGGTTTGATAGATGAGAGATAATAAGGTTAGCCATTCGGTTGTGTATTTATATACACTGTTGTCAACAATAATTATAATCAAACTTTTCTCTCGCTTTCTCTTTCCTTACGTTTTTTTCGGGCAAACGTTTGCTATTATTGTTTGTATTTCACAAACCATTTGATTGGTTATTATGAATCAGAGAGACGTTTACAGACGAGGGAAACGTGACCACCAGTGTCTTAGAGTTTGTTCCCAGCGCTGAAGACCACGGCTCGTACCTTAACTGTCGGGCGGAGAACCTCCGGTTAGCCAACAGTTCCATCGATGATCAGTGGCTTCTCAACATATTCTGTAAGATTCCGTAGGATTCTGTAGTATTCACTAATGTTCTGTAATATACTGTAAGATTCTGTAGATTCTGTAGATTCCGTGTTATTCCGGAATCCAATAGTTGTCTAATAATAACAACAATTATTTTTTATTTGTCTTTTCTTGTTATGAAATTCACTTTCAATTATCTCTATGTCTTAAAATATATGTGTTTTTTGTCTGTTTTTCTTTTCTCAGTCCAACCCAAAGTGAACTTATCGATGAAAACGAGTGCAGCCAAAGGACTGGTAGTCGTTGGCAGCCAGCTATTCATGGAATGCCAAATTTCCGCTAATCCCAGTGTAGTTGAGGTCAAATGGCTTTTCAATGGAAAGCCTCTCAAACAAGACATCGAAAGAGGTATGCGATCGATAGCCACCCATACCATAGGCATAACGTTTAAAGCGTTTACAAATTGCTATCGCAATCGATTGACTAACATATAGACGACTCCATAGAGTGAACACTTTTTTCGCAGTAAAATTGATACGAAATCAATGGACTATTAAATTGCATGAAAACCTATTGTTTGATAATCAACCAAAAGTTAATACAATTTATCATAATAGTATATGGGAATAAACACTTTATGTGTGATTAACTTATAAATTAATATGTATTATTAGGTTATTTGAAAAACAATGATAATTAGGTTGTTACCAATATAAAAGTATCGATTTGAATTAGCATAAGAATTTGTACTGAAAAATAGTATAACAATATTGTAATTGCTTTTTAGAGCAATCGATTGATATATTATTGATTGTATGGATACTAACGGTGCAAATGATTTGTTTAGAGCTCTTCATAAGGAATTCAAGTCTTGAAATCCGAAGCGCTAGACGTGAAGATCAAGGACTGTATCGATGCTATGCCTCTAATTTAGAGGGAAAGACAGACAGTAATGAGTTACGGCTCGACATCCACTGTAAGTCCTCATTACAGGCCGGCCCTCTAAACACACACATTACACATGTAGTGATGATTTATGTCTTAGAGAGACACTGAAAACATAAGAATAGAGATCACAGAATAAAGTATAATATTATATCATATTATGTGATATTATATGATATTATAGTCACTCTGTCTGTGATTCCTATTTTGATTCCCATTTTCTCTGCGATCATATATTTCATCACAATTTCTCTCTCTCTCTCTCTCTCTCTCTCTCTCTCTCTCCCTCCCTCCCTCCCTCTGCCAATCCATTCAAATGCAATTTCACCGCCAGTTTCGCCAATTTGTAAGCAGTCTGAGGGCAACAATAGTATAGGCGCTGCCGTTGGAGAGACCATTGAGTTGGAGTGTGCGGTCGAGGCATCACCTGTTTCTGTCACATTTGACTGGACGGTCAACCGATTCCTACTCCACAATCACATCCAGCGCTCAAATCAGGGCCTCACCAGTCGATTGGCATACAAAGTGCACAATAAAGACGATTTCGGAACCATTGAGTGCAGCGCCAAGAATGCCATTGGATTACAAAGACAGCCCTGTCTTTTCCATATTGTAGCCGCAGGTCTGTCTATGCCTACCATTCCCCGCTATTCCCTACCATTCAATGTATCGCTCAAATGTCAGGCCTATTATCTGCAGACGAGTCACTCGTTTTTTGCATTTAAATAGCTTTCATACTATTATGATAGCAAATGATTGGAATTTTATTTTTTCTATACAAGGAATTCTAAACTTTTTAAATTTGTTTTTGTTATGTCATGAAAATATAATATTAGGCTAACGATGAGAAAGAGAGAGAGAGAGAGAGAGAGAGAAAGAGAGAAGAAAAATTGATATCCTATTTATATTGTACGGCATATTTGTGTCCATTAGGTCCACCGGAGGGTCCATTTGAATGCAGAGTGAGTAACAAAACTGACGCCTCGTTTCTGGTTGAGTGTACCGCTGGTTATGACGGAGGACTCAATCAGACCTTTCATTTGGATATCTTTGACGACTCGGAGCGCAAGAGATTACTGACTCAGTTGACCAATAAATTGAAGCCAATATTCGCAGTAAACTACATATCAATAATAAATGTGTATGTATTGACTCGTATGGATGTATGTATCCGTGTAGGCCGTCCGCCCCCGAGTGTGCACTGGTATCGCGATAATGGGCTGATCGATGCCTCGGCCACCGCTGCCACCGCTGGTGACGGATCTGTTGTTAGGAATGAACTTCTCATCGAAAATATTCGCCGAAATGATTTCAACTCAATTTATAGCTGTAATGCAATTAATAACAACTTCAGTCAGACGTCTATTTCGACATTTGTCACGTTTGATATTTATGGTAACACTTCTCTCCCATACCATTCACTCTATTCTCTCTCTCCCTATGATATAACCAGAAACATTACTATTACATACACACAGAATATTCTGTACCATTGTATGCCATTTCTTATCTCCAAAATACACATTAGTTTCTTAGACTAAAACAGTAGCCAAGGGTTGAGTCAGTGGTCTCGCGAGACTAGAAACGCACGATATATCATATTTTTCGCACAATTTTACAAACAGTTAGCAAAGCAGAGAATTTATGAATGTTTAGAAATATTTTTATTTTCAATGCAGATTAGGTTCGTGATGCCAACCCTGATCAGTTGCCCGCATACAGACACACACAGACGTGTGCTATACTGCAAAAGAGTTGCTTATTTAGTAATTTGTTTTGTTTGCTGTTATGCCAGGCGTTTGGCTTATTGTTTGATAAAAATGCCAAAATATAAGTCAAATTTATAGCTAAAACCAATAAATTCGTACAACTCTTATATAATGACATTTCTCTTTACTATATATCTATATAAATAATACGTTTAT